GTTTACCCCAGTGCAATATGCGTACTGTAACTGGCCGAGTCTGTTCATTCCAGTGCATTACACGAATTGTAACTGGATGAGTCTTTTCACCAATGTGCATTTTTCTATTTTGCTGCTCGTTATTCAAAATTTTCTCATTGATTGATCAGGGCCACGTGTAACCCTGCTACCGGACAATAACAGGGCAGTGCTTGAGGTAAATGCATGAGAATACGAAGATTGCGTTTGTGTGCGACTCAACATTCAATGTTTCTCCACATTTGTATGGATAGTTTAAACAACAAGTTCAAGATATCCTTGTGATATCAACTCGACTACGTCTCCCATTATTGCACAGATACCCGTACTTGTTATCATGCGATAATGGTCAGTGCGTTATCCTTTACTCTCTACTCTAAATATTGTGTCTTGCACAGTGTCATTCATAATTTTGAGCAGCTATTTCTCTGACGTTTTTTAATCCAGACTTGATTCTGATGCAGATATCGCCCAAAATAAAATACAATTTAGTCTTTCCTACCAGGTGAAGAAAGCCATATTTTCTGGATAAGCTCTTTTCCATTTTCGTACCAGGTTTATTTTGTGCAAATATTAGCTGTTTAGTTGTAACTGCCTGCATCGCTCAAAAAATGATAATTTGCTGGTGTTCAACAGTGGGAAATTTCATAAAATTGATGCTTACAAATTTCACAAAAATTCATTCCTCTTGTTCATTGTGAAATAATGTATTCCTGCAAAGTCTGACCATTATCAGATCCCTTAATTTTGGTAGGAACCTTAATTTTAGTTTTAAATCAAATTGTGTCTGGCATAAATTATCTGAGTTAAGCATCATCTTGACTTTGAGAGTATGCATTATTAAAATAATTCATGAAATTTAATTCAACAAAAGCTTATACGTGAATGTGGTAAATACAATTTTTTGAGTGGCGAAAAAAAAAAAAGTTATTTTATCGAACTTTACTAGTATAATGTTATTTTAGTAATTTCACAAAATCATGCGTGTAAGGGAATGTGTTTTATTCTATCGCATCTCTTAAAATTGGTTTATTTTTAACATGTTCTTGAAGAGTGTTATCAAGACGTTTCATTGGTTTTCCGAAACTATTCATTAAAACAAATTATACGGTGTGAGCTCAGTAGACTCTTTACATCAAGTGTCATTTTCTGCGACAGAAATAGAAAATCCAACATGCAAATGAACTCACAGTGGTTGGTGTGCAGGGATAAAAATAGCTGGTGCAATGTGGCAATCAAATGAGAACAACAAAAAAATACTAATTGCCGGTTGTTGTTTTTTTTAGCCACGATAGTTTATTTTGGTTTTCTCAGCAAATTGGTTGCTGTGAATTCTTCATGTTCGATAAAAAGTCGATCAATA